GTAGAATTTATTGAGAGTCTTAGCCAGAAATTACGAAACTATTCTTCACTTAAAACTCTTGATGATTTGAAGGAAATGTTGCATAGAAATAAGGTCAACAGGGAAGACATAATAAGTATTAAGCAATTTACTCTCAGTGAGTGATTATTTTTATTTTACACCGCTCTAGAATGACCCATCATAAATATAGTAATAACTGCTTATTTTTTTTTTCACAGTCTTTGAGGAGATTAATGACGATGATAAGGCTCTCGATCACTGTATAAAGGATATAATCTTAAAACTTTCAAATGTGAAAACTATGACTGACGCCAATGAAGTGACATACTGTGAATTTATTTCATCGATTCTTCATGCATCCATCGCTGTAGCTAAAAAACTTATCTCTCAAGATATATTTATAGTGTTTCAAAAGAACGTTTCTGGTGAGAACGCAATAGGCTGAGTAGACTACGTAATCAAAAGTCTAGAAGACCTCCTCTGCATCACTGAAGGGAAACCACAAAATATTAAGATTGGATATGACTAGGTAGGCCTACTATCCATATTTTCACTTTCTAACATATTAGAGATATTAATGATGGTTTATTTCTTAGAATCTGACGCAACTTGAAAGTGCGTTCTAAATAAATAAGAAAAAATGAACTGCAGATCAAGCATTTGGGAATGACTATTTTGACTATATCTATGGTATTGTGACCACAGGTACAGAGTGGCATTTTATCATATATACTCTGAATGGCATCTTCTTTACAAGCGGTAGCGAGCATCAGATTAATCTTACGAAGTTCGCGATTAAAGATAATCCTGAATTACTACAAAGCAACGTAAAAAGGATAATTAGTATTATTGTTAGGTTGCTGAAGGATCGTATTAGTATAGATAGTTCTCTGGCTAGCAAGAGGGCTAGGATCAAAAAGTTTATTAAAAAATAATATGTATCACAAGACAGTCCCAAAACTTGTATTTATTTTTTCACATGTAATAATAAAAAATTTTTCTTGGCAAAAATGATCAGCGTGAACAATTGTTTACGCGTACGTGATTTTTTTTTATTTTGAATGCTTATTTATAGTGCATAATTTTATAGATCATGTCATCAGAGCTTGAATTATTAAGACAGCGTATTAGCGAGCTTGAAGCTAAGAACACTAAGCTTGAGGCTGAGAAAGTTGAGATTGAGGCCAGGAATGCTGAACTTCTAAAGCAGGTTATAGAGAAAGATGCCAAGCATGATGTTGAGAATATTGAACTCAAATCTAAAGTCAGGGAGCTTGAGGCTAGACTCGTAATATTAGAACAGGGTATTACTGAAGTAAATGAACAACCACAGAATGGTAAGAAAGTGATAACAGAAGTATTAGCCGTTGGTATATCTGAATCCGTAATAGACCAGCAAAATGATGTTAATACCAAGTCAATAAAAGATAAAGAAATAGGTAATTTTATTTCCAAAGAACCTGCCAATGTATCTGACTCAGTTATAGCTCAGCCCAAACAGTGTAAACCCCACAAATTGAAGAGGTGACCACTAAAGTGAAGCATCAAGGGGATCGTTAAAGGATAGGAAAACGGATGCTTTCTTAGATGAGATACATAAGAAAAAGGTTAGGAATGATATTAGGCAGAGAAAGCGGGAAAAAAAGCTTCAGGGTGAATTGATTGTCCAGAAATCATCCTTAGCAATTAATACCAGTTGTATAACAGACCTCTCTACAACTAGCATTGAACTTGTAACTCTTCCAGAACAGGTAGTCGAAGAATCAATTCCAAAGGAATCATTTGCAGAGTCAGTGATATTCTGTAAGTTGAAATTATTTTCTGGAAACAAGTAGGACCCTCTGCCCAAAAAAATTTTCTATAATCAGAAAGTAGAACAAGATTTAATATGCGAATTACTTGAATTTATTAGATATCATAATTTTACGTCCTTACCGAATTCTATATCTAGCAAATATATTTCAGATGTTCAAGTTGATGCTAACCTAACTCCAGGTTCTATACTTTATTTAGCACATTTATTCGACAAGACTGAAAAAACTGGTCAGAAAGAAAAATTACAATGGTATTACTATAGTGAGGAATATGAAAAAAGGTTGTAACCCTTAGTTCTGAAAATAATATTAGTGATCAAATGGCAAGAACGTAGATTTATGATGAAATGGAGCTGTATCTTTCCGGTAAAAAGAGAGAGTATTTGCATAAGATGACACAAAAGGTTAAAAATATCTATACCTTATTTAAAGAAATAAGAATAGATAAAATTGGAGTAGTTACATCTAGCGCTGATGCGATCTCTAGACTAATTGATGCACAAATCCAGAATATAATAAATCTTTATACTGATGAACTAACCAAATCTCAGTGTAAACAATTGTTCACGCGCACGTGATCTACTGGCTGATTCCTCTAAAATCGATCTAGTCAATCTACCTAAAACTGAGGTGAGTATATTATTCATAATTTCTTCTAGTAAGATAGGATCATCTAACAGATCCCGACTTCTGATTTCTATCTTGCCTGATGATCCTGAAGAGAAGCGAAAATATATCATTGGGTTAGTGCTAGAGCGGTTTCCTTATCTATTTTTAAGTGATAGTGATGAACGTGCTAACAGATTTAATCTTAATAGTTCAACACTCTGCCCATTATGTAATGGAGATCATAAAGATAAAAGTATATGGAATGATATAAAAGGTGAATGGGATGCCGGTGAATATTGCAGTGAACGAACTTATCGTCTCGAATGTGGGAATGTTTATTGTGAAATCCCAATAGTATCTGTAAAAGTATAGACAAAAACTTCGTCATGTGAACTGATTACCTGAAATGCACAGTGCATTATCGAAAAATTCTTGCCAAAGAATAGGTTGTGTGATGTAAGATTACCATATATATTCGCATTATTTTTTCGAATCACGTGAGTGGCTTAGATATTGTGTACAGTAAATTGTCATCTATTCTTCTCTGTAGTAAACGCATGTGATTCCGCAGAATATTCTATGCGCAGTAGTACATCACCAGCATCTGCAGTCATTATTTTTAGAGGATCTATTAATAATCCCGGCCAAGAGCAATATTTTTGTGTTGACATACTGATGAACTTTCCCCAAAGTTCTTGTATGTTCTATCTCACACATTACGTAGTTCTGAATTACTAATAAAAAAATCACATCCCTGATTTACATTTTGTGGATCGTAAGACAGGGCGTTGATAAAAAGAAATTCAAAAATGGAAATAGAGCCGATTAGAATCAATGATTTACAGATCCTCAGAGCTAGAGGCGCTGTGCATAAACGGTAAATTTTTATTATTCTACTAATGTTAGCGCATTCAAATTACATATACAGGTTAATCACATATTAATCTGTTTTTTGAATAGGAAATAGTTATACATGTGCGATTCGTCATCTACAGATCTCGATCTATGATGACAAATATCCTGATTTTTTGTGATTATAATTGAAATAGGAGTGGGCTGTGAACTCAAACAAAGATGCATCACATACGATCTTCTGTTTTGCAAGAATCTTAGAAATAAACGGAAAATTTTGAGACACGGCATTGCTTCATTAGTATTATATCAAGTTGTCATAAAACCGTAATTTGTCAAATTTTATTTTAAGCACTATTGTTAAATGCGCCCCAAATTCAGGGAGGAAAATTTATTATTATTAGACGGGATCGAGATCCAGGCCGTTATAATTATTTTAGCTGAAAAAATATAATTATGAAAAAATGTAGTTATGATGAATACACATAATAAAGCAACATAAATTAGGTTAAATTCTCTTTTCACACATAGTAGGTATACAGTATAAAATAAACCTTTTCCCCAGCGCATTTACGTAAGAGATTGCATATTAAAAAAAGTATATCTAAAAAACTTGATCCACCAATAAGATCTCTTAATAAAATTAATACGCCTAATCATGTCCAGTTTTGACATTGCTCAACTCTTCGGGAGTCATGCCTTTTTGATCTTAACCGCTGTTTTTTTGTTCATTGGTCCAGTGTTATTCATAGGGATTGTTACCATGTGGTCAAATCTCAAACAAAAAATTTCTGATGAACTTTCTGCACGTGTCACTAGAATCGTCAATACAAAAAATAATACACTGGAAATCGAAAAGACCTTTATTGAAATGAACAAAAAGTTTAGCGTACATATTTCTGAAGTTAACGTTAATTCCACTGCAGAGATTAGCAAAATTAAGAATGAAATCTATTCTCAGAGATCAACAAAATTAAGCATAAGATTAACGGTAAACTTACTGCAGAATAATTACTCTGCAAAGGCACAGAAAATAAGATCAATAATCAGCAACATAACTACAAGACTTGATGAAATTGAACGAGAATATCAAACCAATTTTAATCTGGATTTATTACAATCAATACTACTATCCAAGTTCTTGTAAGTAATATGGTTAGACACAATGTAGATAGCATACTTGCTCAAAGAACTCAGTCAGTCTCTGATGAATCTGATCAACACAGTGTGGCTAACAATTCCAAAGCTTCAAGTCAATCAGAGTCTTCACATGCAAGCTCTTATTCTGGAAGTTCATCGTCCAATTCATCTTTTTTTGAAAATTTTGATGACCCGTTTTAAGCAAATTTTTAATTCGCTTAGAGGGAGTGATTCTGTTGACTATATGTGTGAAACGGTAGCTCGTAAGATTCATCAACTTACGGGAAAAAAGATTGGAGGAGCTACTATAAAAAGTTTTTATTATGGGTATAGTGATTCGAAATATAGTACAGTAAAGTTAATTAGCAAATGGTTAGATAGTAAAGAAAATATTAGCAGTTTAGATAATTGTTTTTTACATTTATTTATTAGTCAGCTGGCCTCTTTTTTATATAATTACATAATAATAAAAAATATGTTTTCGATTGATTTTTAAATTGTGAATGTATGTTTTATAGGTGAAAATGTACATATATTTCTTAAAAAAATTAGGTACTGCAAACTCCGGATATAAATTTCTTTTCATTAAACATTTGATATTTCACAATCACCGAAACTGACATTATTATAAATATTCATGTTGCTATATTCATAAATTGTGGGATCATCCTTGCTTTCATTTTTCCACATATGAAATGCTATGGTAGAAGCTTGTTGCCAAGAAAAATTATAATCGTTAGATTTAAGTTCGTAATAGACAGATGCTATGTAATCAATAGAAACTTCTTTCATGATTCTTTCTAATAATAATTCATCCTTTGATAACAAATACATAATAACTCTTTTAGATGGAATAGGATCATCAAAATGGACGTTGGTTAACTCTGGCCTATAACGATAGAAGAACGATTCTAGCAAGCCTTGTAAACCTATGAAACTGTGAACCATATAAGTAAACATATCCTCTAATTTTTTGATCCTCAAATCTCATTTTTTCATTTCCAGTATCTGTCCGCTTCTGCTCCCCAATTTTGCTACCATTTCACCATGGAAAAATTCTCTTAGCTTCTGCTTTTCACGACTCTCTTGCAACTCCAAATTGTTGAGAACTCTGAATGGTTCTTCCACTTCTTGGATCCATATTAGATACTAGCATAAATTCCATAAAGTTCCTATACGAGAAAACTCCCAATCAATGATACCTACAATTTTAATTTCATCATTAACTGAACGCTCAATAAGTATGTTTTGCGCATCAAAATCACCATGAACAAGAACAAAGGGTTTTTGATCTATCGATTTATCAAAAGGTTTGAATAACTTGGATTGAAGTGAGGCCATTTGTTTTATTAGATTTACCACTTCCGTTATCTGATTTATCTTCTTCTTTTTCATAAGTTCTTGCATAACATGAATCTTGAAGAATTTTTTTTCTTTTTGAATCAAGGCGTCAAATAATTCCTGCATGCTTCTAAAAGGGCTGGTGAAACTAGGAATGGCATTTCTTCCCTCAATATAAAATACAGGATCCACAATAGGTCCTATTCGAAAAGTTGAATCCATCTAATTTTATAATATTATTATGAGACATTCAATAAATATTAATTATGTGCCTTACATAATACTACAAGTAAAAAGTTGTTACTGTACTCACAAAGTTCATGTAAAGACATCCGATCTCTTCAAACTGGCATTTCGTCCATAATTCGAGCAACGTGTCGACAATTTGGCTTAAAACACACTTCTTTTTTTCAACCGTTAACTCATCCCAAACTCGATATAAGTGTTGTCCAGGTATCCGTTCCATGAGAATGTAAGGGATTTTTATGGGATTATGCACGGTGCAATCCCAATCATATATTTCTGGCACTTTGATACTGGTGTTTTGAGCGACATACTTCATAGTCACAACTTCACTAGCGAATTTTACTGCAGGGTGGGTTAGATCACACGAGAGTCAGGCGATGCAGTCTGGTCCAGCCTCGAATTGTAATAAATAAATTTCATTATAGAGTCCTTTTGTTAGTCTACGAGTGTGAACACAATGTCTGTCTAAGCGACTGGAAGCAAGCTGTTGTAGAGCATTGAGATCCAAGTCCAATGTAGGTTCGTCATCAAAAATTTCACTTTCGTTATTTTCGTTATCCATGATTGAATTGTGAACAATCATAATTCACATGGATACGTGCTTTTACTAAGATTTGTGTGCAATAGCAGAAGCCAATCAGCGTTTTGTATCACCCTTCCTAGTACTATAAAAGCAGTTGAAGTAAAAAAAAGTTTACCACAGAACGTTCTAAAATCATGGCAGTCCCATTTCCGTCCACCTACCACTACTCTACATGCCACAAAAGGACCAAGACTGCATCAAAGGCTGGGCATTACCCGCGTCACAAATGGGTTTGTCATAATAAACGAGCATTGTAAAGTGTAATTTACCTCAGTTCTTTTTTTTCAGTTTTTATGTATAAACTTGTATTCTAAAAACAGTTCATTTGTACATAATAGATCGATGGTCATGACATGGAATGAACGTTGCCCTATATGTGAAAAACTATTCAAATGTGACGAATGCGGTCGCAATGAGCATATTCACGATGTTGACGAATATGATGGCGAATATAATGACGAATGATGGTACCGTAAACGGTTGACTAAAGTACCCGGGTATTTTACCAATTCGTGAAGTTGGAAGGGTATTATACTACAGGGAGTACTTTGGTCTAAGGGGGAGGGTACTACGCTATACCATATAAGGTCTACTATTTGAATTTAAA